ATATTTTAATATATTTTAAATATTAAATGTTAATTGTAATAATAATATTTTAATATTTAATAAAATATTTTATTGTGATTAGACGGTTGAAATTAAACAATTATAAACAATAATATTCTTTAAGTTGAAAAGCGTTTGTGTAGATCGTGATCTTCTGTAATGTGATGCTTCAAGGCCGTCCGTTGTATCTCAAACACTTCACGCCCCTTTTAGATCCAGCAGGTGAAGTTGGCGTGGAACGCCAAGTCCAAGGTCGGGTCCTTGGAAAACGCGACCCACAAGCCGGGGGGAGGCGACAAGAAGATTGAGACTGTGAAGTTGGATTTCAAGGAGAAAGCCAAACCGAAGATCGGGTCCAAGGACAACGTTAAACATCAGCCGGGAGGCGGCGACGTCAAGGTATGCAAACCCCACGACTTTGTCTAGACGCTCTGAAACCTTGAAATATTTTAAGTCACATCATCGGTGACATAATACACTTGCCTTACATGCAGGAGATACAGGATTCGAATCCCCATTAGGGCAAAACCGTGGGTTTCCGTGCCTTTTCTGCAGATTGTGGAAAGTTTTTTTTTTTATATGTACCAGATTCCTGTCCCATAATTCAATTCATCATAAGCCAATATAAGCGAGGTTAGATGACAATAATTCTGCTCGTGATTTGAAACCATAAGTTACGTAAAAATTGATCAGGTGGCGTTCATTTTAATTTGACTATCCTTAATCCGCTATATTTTTAGGGTTTTTTTTACTCAGTAGCAATTTAACAGGCTCGATACTATCCACTTTGCACTTGAATCAGTTAAACACCACGAAAACTAAGCCAATCGCGTGTTCTTGGTCTTGAAATTCTGAAAACACACCTGAAATCCTTGAAAGTAAAAATTAAAGAATTCCCTCTCACTCCAGAATTATGAGAGGAAGTGACTGGCACAAACATCGTAAAACTGACAGACTCTGATTGGTTTAACTTTCATCACCACGCAGCTAAGAGAAACCACCCTTCATGTTCGAATCGTAGAGTAGTTATCAACGTAAAGTGAATTTTGACTCGTGCCTAATTTAATGCGAGATGATAATATTTTGATATTGTTATTATTTTCGTTACTGAAATGATTGCAACACTTCAGCGAAGTATTATTACAAAAATTCATTTCTTTAATCACAAATAATGAGCAAATTGTTATGTGAGAGAACTATAAAATTTGAAGGTTAAAGTACTTTAACAACTTAAATTATTATTATTTTTTTTATTATTATTGTGGGATAGTTTAAGTCATATTACTTTTCGTTTTAGTAATCTCGCTTACCTTTTCAGTCTCTTCTATTGACGTCAGACTCATTTCAGGAGCAAATAAAATTCCTTCTCTGCCTTGAAAAAATACGTAATCATTTTATAGGTTTAAACCGGAATCAAAGAGTTGGAACGCTGTTTGTAAGGAAAGTGTATTACAAGCTCGTCAATAGTTTTTTTTTTAAAAAAAAAGTCATGCAATTTCAAGATTTAAAATGTGAAATTGGTCTGGAGATTAAAATTAATTGTAAATTTCTTTCTGAAACCCACTTTTAAATTGCTCAGTTGACTCATTTACCAGTAAAAAATATCATCGTCTATAAATTTTTTTTTGAAAACGTGTCATAAACTTCCACAGGAGAGAAATTTGGAAATAAAATGTGGGAAATTCTACACGTCTCTTAAGTTACTAACGTGATAACATCGCAAAGTTGCTCTAATGGCAAAACCACGAAAGCAGTTGTTTCGATCGTAATTATTTTTTTAATCTGAGGTTAAATTTTGAGTGTGTGTGTGACTTAGGACACTTTGCAGTACAGATCCGGTTCTGAATTTGAGACAGCTATCAACCGAAGAGCATGGCCTGCCTTGTTTTTTTTGAAATGTTGATAATTAACTTGCATCGTGCTCAGTCGTAGTTCTAGGTGGCCGAGATACGAACAGTGGGACCTGGTGGCTCTGGAGAAATGTGTGTTTTGTAAAAATAAATATAATTTTAAGTTCTCAGCAATTACTTTTCAAATAGGCGTATTTTAACATTTACGTAATAACCGAAGTCTCCTCAACTCTCCAATCTTTTACGAGAGTAATCGCGTAAAACCGACTCCTTCTTGAGAAGCTAATAGTTGCACAGCTATTCAAGTATTCTCTACCTTGTATAGAGCCTTGAAATTTATTACTGGTCACTGGCCCGTATTTGAAGCCAGATTAATCCAATCCACATCTACAATTAGTACATTTATTTAAGAATTACGTTAATTTTATGATTATATGTGAGCCTGTTGGTGGTAGTCTGTGGGATTCCCGTCATTAGCCTTTGGAAACCTGAAGTTTGTCTAAATAAATTTAAAAATTCAGATTTTAACCCAAATAAAATACAACTCGTCTCCATTACAGTGAGTCTTTCAAGAAGTAATTACGTTCTATTCTGAGAATCGTATGAAATCAATAAATCCGCTATGTGAGGAACGTGGATAATTAGTATATGCCAAAAGTGTTTGATACTTCAAAGTTCAACTGGTCTTTAAAGGCTCGATATTTCTTAGAAATGACGGCGTGTACTGCAGATACCAAATTTGACGACAGTACAGTCGATGGACAGTGGCTTGGCTTAGTAGCCATGAACGTATCCTGGTCTAGAAGTCAGGTTGTTATGAAAACCCCATATTAATAAATCCCCTCTACAATCGCAGTTAATTTCATGAGATTGAACAGGTCACATCATAGATAAGACCTAGCAACTTCAAATTTTGCGAAAATATATAGTTTACGTGACGGTGAATATAAAATTTTGAATCAAAAATAATTATCAGGTCATTAATAATATTAATTTGAGTAATGAAATATCCCGAAGAAATCATTTTAGTTTTTCTCGTAAGAAAAATAAGTTGGATTTGGCATATATTAAACTTTGCGTGAATTCACTGTGCACTGTCTGAAAATGTCCATTTGAAGTAGAAAAATAATGATGAGTAGGATTTGTGG